CCTCCCCCCCCCCCTTTCTTTTACAACAAGAGGATATTTGGCTTCGGCACATGGATCAGTCAAAGCTGGTCAGCAGAGCAAAATCTCATCAGCATGGCATCATGGCCGGAGGAAGAGAAAGCTTCTTCATCAGCCACAGCCGTATATTGAGACATACAGAAGAAGGAGACACTCGCAGAAACACTACTGGACCTCCTCCAAGGAAAAACTTGATGTTTGGTTGCTGATAAGACGTTATGATTACGGAATGGTTTCTTGCCAGGACATGCATTGGCAATGGATTTGCCAATGCAATCTAGGACGAGATGGAAGGTCCCAAGAGGACTTTCCATGAGAGCCTTTTTGGTCCCTTTGAGGGAAGTACCGTGGGACACACACACACACACACACACACACACACACACACACAGAGAGAGAGAGAGAGAGAGAGAGAGAGAGAGAGAGAGAGAGAGAGAGAGAAATCTCACAGTGACAGGGAAGAGCTTGGAAAGGGTTACATAGCGTTTGACATTGTCGTTTTGAGGGCATTCAGCTGGTGGACCGGTCTTGTAAGAAGAGAGTAGCACTGGTGCAAGAAGTGTCGTTCATCATGCGCGTCAACTCGGGACTCAGCTTTCACTGGGCGAAAAGGGTTGGCCAAGGGGCACACCGTACCAAGGCCGTCAGATTCAAGAGATGTTGAAGTGCGCAACGTGATTCAGGGGTCCAAAAGAATTTAATCAGCATACATACAAGTACATATGCTTCATTACTCAACGTAAGAGCAAACCGATAAAACATATTCTCGTCAGGAAGAACCGGAGAAGAGCTGATGCTCTGGTCAGGACAGCAGTTTGTGTGATAATATTGTCATCATAGCAAAGAAGTTGAAAGTACGGAGAGGAGGTGCTGGAAAACTGCATGGCAAGATGGGGGGCGGGGGCGGGGAAGTATGGGTTTCTGTGAGTTATCGTCTTCTTCTCGGACACTCTGAATCAGGGCTTGCTGCTGTCAGCGTCCTTGTGTGCTTGCTTTCATTCCCCTATTCCCCTCCTCTTTCCTAGAGTGATGGGCAGGGGGGGGGAAGTATGGGTTTCTGTGATTCATCGTCCTCTTCTCGGACTGCTGCTGCTGGCATCCTTGTGTGCTTGCCTTCATTCCCCTACTCCTTCCTACAGCTGGGACAAACAGTGAGTTTGAACCGATGTTGAAGAGTGCACGATGCGGTCAGCATCCTTGTGTGCTCGCTGTCATTCCCCTCCTCTTTCCTGGAGTGATGCGATATCTCACTATGGAAAGTGTGGAAAATGTAGTTCTTAACGAAGCCAAGCAGCACGATGGGTCAAACCGTGAGTTTGAACCGATGTAGAACCGCCCACTGTGAGTCAGCCAGGAATGAGATTGAAATTTCAACCCATGTTGAACTGAATGGGAGAAGAGGTCATGCATCATGATGCATGATTAGGGATCGAAGACAAGGGCTAGGAAGAAGGAGAGAGGGGAAAGCTGCATTGGGCGGGGGGGGAGGGGAGGGGTTGAGGGAATGGCGCGGGATGCGCGGAGGGTGACAGGGGGGGGGGAATGCTCGGCTAACTCCCACGACTTGCGCTGCTGACTTACTGGATACTGGCACCATTGTCTGGTCCCTCAGGATTTACTCGCACTAGGAGTACTGGAAAGGAATCTGGCGGCAATTGCAGTCAAATGCGTCCAGGAAAGTCCGAGTGTGAATGTGGCCTCGTTCACCTACTTGGTGCTACTGCCACCACTATAGAAAGGGCCTCATTGTATTGTTGGTTGATCATTGAGGAGTACTACCACTTATTGCTGTTTCACCGCACTCGCATAGTTGCGCCATAAACGTCTCCATGTTTGTTGATGTCCTCGCCCCTGTTTATGCTGACATCTTAAAATGGGGAGATCTTTGTATCAGTGATGGATGATATGGAAC